TTCATTTTTGCATGTAACATTTCTTTCATCTTGTGCTCCCGTCACGAGCGCGACGTACGGGCGCGACAACGCACGAGGCGGTTACCTCGCTCCTGCCCGCCTTGTATACTCGCGCTCTGATTCGTCGAGAGTTTTTGTTAATAACTCGACTACCACGCCTCGGACAACTTTTTTGCAAAGGAAAAAGTTGTTTAAAATCACCATGGCTCCACCCCATTTCAAGGCCTAACACTAGTTCTGGGACACCCTGTATAGGATTGTAGTTAGTGGTTCGTAGGTAGTACACGTGCATGAAATAGGCGACACTTAAGAATTAAATGAAAAAGTAAGGGAGTCTGTTTTAAGAAAGCATTTCATCGATTATAATGATCTTTGCGAATTTCAAACAGTCCTCTAAATTTTCGATTCTATAAAAACTCAATACTTCAGTTAATAGTAGATAATAATTGAATTACGTCACTGAATGATCTCCACGCACCGAGGCGATTCCTTGTCAGAAGCTGGAGGCGGCCGCGGTCATCGTTTCTGGTCGATATATATTCCGCGAGCAGTCGATTTTAATAAACCCGATGTAAACTGTTACCCTTTGTGGGGAAAGTTTCCGGGAGAGCGCGCCGATTTTTAAATATAGTGTGCCCGGTAGGTTTGGGCACCAATGTGAGAGTTAGCAGGGTCGGCGGGAAACCGTGGCACCGGCCGTCAAAGCTTTTCGCAGGCAGCCGTTCTCCGCTTGCCTCGTTGATCCACGAAAAAGGCTCGCCATCCGTGGAATCTTTTGTTTATAATTTTTTTGATCATTACCCAACAGGCTACTAATTCCACCGGTGCGATGGGTGCATTCAAAATTTATCGGCGGCGCGACAAAACGCACCCTTCAATCTTTTTTATCTCTCCCTGCCCCGCTTCTCCGCGTTGTCCCCACCTGTCTCTGTTCGTCAACCGGTTGCCACCGATCGCCCCGTCCCTTTCTCTCGCGCTCTATCCTTTCTTCGCGTTCATTGTCTCTCCGTCTGTCACGGTCTCTCCAACTGTGGCTGTCCTGTCCGCTCGCTTGCAAGCGCCCCGCTCCCTATTGGACAACGTTCAAAGGGTATTCAATTCAGAGCCGAAGGTCCGGAAATGGTCCGGGAAAAAAAAAGAACAGGTAGACAGAGTTAGGCACTTGTTTGTCCAACGGAACCACCCGGACGTTGTGATTTTTCAAAAATTTTGATCTCGTCCCGCGCGGCGTGTATTGGTTCCTTTGTCTCGTCTCGGCTAATCGCGTACGAACGTACATCCAACTCGATCGTCATTCAAACTGTACGTTGGACTTGGTACCCATCTATTGCCTTTCTCTCGTACATCAGATACGTATATAGATACGTGCTTAGAATTTACTGAACTACGCCTAATAAAAATGTTTTGTACCGACTGTTTCATATTTCAAGTTACGCGATATTATCTTTCATGCCTCTGCGTTCAGTGGATTCAAAATTCATGCGTGAATATATTTTTTTATGTTCATGAAAATACGATAGACCGCAAGCATAAATCATGCAGCTGAAACAGAAACGTTCGGGAAGCGTCCGTTAGGTACATACACGCGCGTGTGTATAGGAACGTCGGGAATAAAAGTGACTCCGTGTATTTTTTAATTCGCCGAGCTAATTGAGATTGCTCGAAACGCGAAAAATGCATCGAATCGCGTGGCGCGACCCGGGTCGTCGTGTCCCCCCTTTGATCCTCCCGCCCGGTCTGAACCGTTTTTCCGGTATTCGCGTAATTATCAACGTTTAAACCCGCCGCCTCGTTACCATAATCAAAAAATGTCGTCAGCCATTTTTTTTGTTGCCCCGGTCACGTACGCTGACTGCGAGCGATGGACTCTCGAGAGGTTAATCTGCCCGACGTTTTCGTTAAAGAAAGCAACGAGCGCCAAACACCGTTAATGAGACGCGTCCTGTGATCCCGATTTCGCGGCATATTCGAAACGAAACGAGGGTGAATGAGAAAACAAAAAAAAGAAGGGCGCGGGAAAGAAATAAAAAGAAAGCGGACAAGTGGCCTCGAGGTGGTGGGAAAAGGGTAACAGTCTGTATTCAGGGATCACGGGGATCTGGCTGTTGGGGTTGAGGCGACGGCAATATAGGGAGAAGGGAGACGGGGAGAGCGAGAGCTACGGTAGAAATAATGTGTTTAGGCGCAAGCATTTTTATCGCGATGTACCCGCCCCCTCCTACGGATCCCGCGTTCACCCCCGTTCGGCCCGAAGCTTTTGTTGTTTCCAATGCTTTATGTGAATTGCACTGTAAAATCTCATTATATTCGTGTGCAACGCGTCCATTATATCCTGTGCCAGAAACATTTTTTCCTCACCCCGCGCATACAACTTTTACCCGATTCCCGCAATCCTTTATTTCTCATTCCTCCGTTCTGTTTCTACTTTCCCTCTTCTTTTTGCTTCCTTTCTTCCGTCCCTCTTCGTTGCCTTCGTTCCCGTTCGCCTTGCCGTCCTCGTTCTGGTACCGCGCGATAGGTGAACAAGCTCCCTGTCTCATCGTCCTTCGAAAACACCGAAACTGTTCCCGAAATTTATTCGTTCGTGCGACGCGACGCGATG